CGCTCCTGACACACAGAGGAGTGACTCATTGGGGTCATTCAGGCCGGTATCGGGTGATGCCAGGCCAGAAAAAACCCAAGCTGCACACTGCAAATGTGGCTGCGCTGGGACTCAGCCAGGCCAGCGACAAGGCTAAGCATCAAAGCTGGGCCTCCAAAGAGGGAGGCCAAAAACTTATTTGGAAAATAAACACACACAGAAGGTATGCAGCATGCATTACTGGACAGGAATGGGTGAATCCCTAGGAAAAGTGAAGCTAGGGAAAATTTTATATCCTATGCAAAACACCACCTCCAAGACATTTATCAGGAGAGACCTGGAGATGCAGGCGCACTGCTGAATGACATGACTCCAGCATCCAGCCAGTGCCAGCTTGGGAAGCAAAGAGGAGTCTTTGCTGCTTACCTCAGCTGGAGTTGGGGGAGTCTTATCAGTCTTATTTCCCACCAGCATCAAGACAGGGCTGCTTCCAGAAAGCACAGGTAGCGAGTGCCAAGGGCTGTACCAGCTGGGTCTAGAGCAACAGCCTTGGCCTGACATTTACCACTGCTGCTGCTGCTGCTGCCCAGACACAAGCTGGGCCAGAGAACGTGTAGCCTCACAGATGCTGCTTCTAACAGGAGCAAGGGCTCCTACTGAGGCTCGGAAAGCATGTTATTGATGCTACAAACAGTCTGGCAGAAAGTCAAGTTTGCTAGAAGAAAAACAAGAAAAAAGCTACAGCAATAAAAAGGAGAAAGGGGGCCAAGTTACCTGAAGTCGTAAGAATTTTATTTAGTTGCAAGGTAATGCACGCCACTCCTGAAAGGCAGGACTGTGTAGTTACTTTACACAATAGGAAGCCTGGTCAAAGACGGTGACATTCAAATCCCACGTTTGTCAAAGCAAAGTCCCCTTCGGCTTTGGACCAGGGCCCGTCTGAGCGCTACCCAAGGAGTGTCATTTCCACGTAACTACATTCAGCCCTGCACTCCTTCACACCACAGCAGATCTGCGCCGTTAGCACAGGCGCTCGAGGCACTGCTGGCAGGACGTGCTCAGAGGTCTCCTCCATTCTGCCTCTGGCCCAAGATGAGCTCCAGCTCAGCAATCTCTCAGGCACATGGCCGAGACCACCTTTCTCTGGAGGAGCTGGAGGAGGTGCAGACAAAGGAGAGGTCTTACCTACAAGCCTCTGGACAAGGAATTTTGTTTTCCTCAGGGGTGCCTTACAGAGGCCAAAAGGCCATTTGAGTGAGTCGAGCTACCTGACCAAGGCGAGATTTGACTTGAGCAAAGATTTTAGCACTTAAATACAGAAGTGCCAGCAGAGTGTCTACGCTTACCTTTGTCACCTCAAATTACAGCATTTTACCAGTTATCCCATACTGAACCCAGTACTGTCCATTTGGCAAAAGCCTATCGTCCCGTCCTGTGATGCATCTGGTGTGGACTTGGAGAAGCACCTACAACTTTTTTCATCAGCAGTTTCCAGTGAGGGGTTACAGGTTGAAACACTGAATACTTCATGTTGCTATACAGGGTTACAGCAGGAAAAACAGACACCTTTATACAACATTGGTAAATCAAAAGAGTCAATCCCAGTCACCAATTCAGCAAGATTAACACATGCAACACATGCTGCTGACAGCTCACCGTGGACCAAGGTATCACATTTCGGCTGTGCACACAACCGTTATCTTTGTGGCTAAGTTGCCTCTTGCACTTGCTTAGTTACAGCAAACAGTTCAAGCGCATCCACGAACAGGCTGTCACAACACGATCTTGCGTCACTGTGCTTGCACATCTTCACTGACCTGTCGCTTAGTTCCATTTGCTTTCCCGAAAATCTGAACTGTTACCCTATAATGTGTCAGCCAAGGAAAGAGCTGGACAAGTCAGGGGGACTTGTGCACAGAATTAACAGGAGCAGAATAGCAGATCAGACATTTCAGAACACCGCTCCATCCAGACAGCTCAGCAGGAGGCAGGTCAACATAAGAAACTCATGCAACAGCTGAAGGTGACATCAAGAGAAAGTCACAAGCTTCGATGATTTCTTCCTGAAGCTCTGATGACATTGAGTGAGTCATGTTGAGCACGTGAATAAAACAGGACTACTGAATTTACTGGGGCTGCTCCTAAGCATGGAGTTAACGACCTGCATGACACACTGCAGAACTGAGGCCTAATTACTGAATCACATGTTGAAACAACATTAGCTTAGCCATGAACAGTCATTCGCAATGTCACTGCTCCAACTCCCAAAGCTTAGATCAAGACCATGAAAAAAAAAAACAACACTGCTAAGCTGTATGAGTCTTGATAAAACATGCTAAAAACTGCCTTAAAGGCAGACACAACGCACAGAAATCTAATCTCCCAAGCACCAGAGCTTCTAAGGGCACCTGACGACACGAGCCAGGAGAGGA